TATGTAATAACCTTGTTATGAAGAGGTATAGCATCACAGGTATGTGCCTTTCTTACTCTACATTCCTCTCTCTTAGAGATGGCTTCAAACCATTTTTTAATGGGATTGGTTGGTCGTATCAAGCACATTCCAGAACAGGTATCTTCCCTGTTCAGAGCATCTTTTTCTTGTTGGAGGATTTAGTGAAGTACCATCATCTCTCTGTTGAACGAGTTTCATCTCAAAGGCCGTAACTAAATTCCATCCAATATTGGAAAGGTTATAATACAAAAATTGAACTTTTTGTTAAGTTTTTATAATCATTTAAAGTTGCTGCTCTTTTCAGTGTCTAATATTTAAAATAAAAAAAAATCTATAAATGTACGCATCATAATATATCAATTATCAATGGATTTGTTTAATAATTAATTAATTAATTATTAAATTTTAGGAAAGATATTTACTGAAATTTAGCAGCGATAGAAAATAATTTAATAATGCTTAAAGATGTAACTTTAGATAAGAAAAAATACGAAAATCGAATAGTAAACTTTGCTACTTTTCTCTTCTAGTCACGTATGTTATAGATAGAATTTAGGTAGTTATATGTCTAGAACTTTTGCTGTTTAACTCGTGTAATTCTAAATAATTGTCAGAAGATTGAGATAAAACTAGTGTAGCTACTCACTCTCAATGTTATAAATAGTAAAAATTCTAAAAGATTTTTAACCGAGAAGTTGATAAATTGCAACGATATTATTTAAAATGATTTGTTTTGAAGAGCTTTTAATATTAAAACTAATCTAAAAATATACTTCTAATGATTTTACATCAAAAGTTTGGAACAGAAGTTAAGAATAACATCTTCAAGATAAATGAGATGCATTTGTAAAGGACAATGAAAGGATAAATTTTCACTCGTATCGGATTTTAAATCGGTTTAAAAAATTACTTTTTTATAATTACAATTAAAAATGTTTTTAAAAAAATTATAAATTAAAAGACTTAACATTAGAAAAATAAAGTTTAAAAAAATGTTTAATATCTTAAAAAGTTTTTTAAATCGTATAAAATTTTATATAATCCTCTCCTTTTTTTTTCCACGAAATGTAATTTCTATAAAAGTGATAAGTGTATCTATCTAGAAAGTTTTTCCGACATGTTGAAAAGGAAGAGAATAATCGCCATCAGAGCAATATTGAACCTAAATGGAAGCTCGATATCGAAGATGTCATCAAGTAAAGCATCTCAAAAATCCGAAGTCATAAGAATCCATGTTTGATATTTTAATCCGCCAAAATCTTTTCTTGGCATCAACACAAGTAAACACACCAAAAATGCAGTCTTAAATCCCTAGTGATTTTGAAAATAGTTTATTTACTATTTTTAGAATTTCTCAATGGTCTCGCAATTTAACTCCACATTCCATATACACCCGTAGAAAACACCAAGAACTCCAATAGATAATTACCCATTACACATTTAAAAAAAAAATCGATATTAAGGAATTAAAATGTTTACTTATTTTGTGATTAAACAATATTGTTCACTCTCATTACTCTAGTTACTTTTTACTATTTTGTACATTTTTTTTTCCTGTATGCAATTGCTTTTGCATCACATATTTCTAACAGCTTTGGAGATAAAAGCTTAGAAGAGCTGTCATTTCTCATATAAGCCATCAACATTGTTGTCCAAATTACCCAATTCCTCATGCACTCTTTTTTCCCCCTCCTTCCTTTACTTTAGTCATCTCATAATGTCGTTCTGGGATGACTAAAACTATTTACTGCTACATATTATATAAAATATTGTACCATCTGGCTTAATTAATGATACATTTTTTTGGTATAAATACAAAAAAACCCACAAAATTTTTATTAAAAATTTATAAACGTTTTGATAAAAAATAATAATAATAATAAAATAAATTATGGCATTA